GAACCAGGACAGTTGGACTGTTAGGCTCCTGCTTCCCTTCCTTAGCAAGCTGCTTCTCACAGACCAATGCGTTATTTCGTTTTGGATATTTTAACTTTTATTTTGGTATAATTTCAGACTTACACAAAGGTTGCAAAAATAGCATAAAGCATTCTCGTATACCTTTCATCCCACGTCCCCAAATGTTAACGTATTATGCAATCACTATATAGTGAAAACTAGAATATCAACGTTCACACAATACTATTAACTAATCTGCAGATTTTATTCACATTTCATCAACTATACCACTGATTTTTTTTTTTCTGGTGGGATTCTGTTTAGGGTCTGACCTTAACAAGGGATTTTTGTTTGTTTTTTTGAGACAGAGTCTCGCTCTGTCACCCAGGCTGGAGTGCAACCATGCCATCTCGGCTCACTGCAGGCTCCACCTCCCGGGTTCAAGTGATTCTCCTGCCCCAGCCTCCTGAGTAGCTGGGATTACAGGCATGCACCACCACGCCTGGTTAATTTTGTATTTTTAGTAGAGATGGAGTTTCACCATGTTGGCCGGGTTAGTCTCGAACTCCTGACCTCAGGTGATCCACCCACCTCAGCCTGCCAAAGTGCATTACAGGTGTGAGCTACTGCGCCCAGCCTAAAATGTTTTTAAAATAGGGCGCTTGGGAGTGATGTCACGTGCCCCATGTGAGTGGATTGCAACACATGCAGCTGCCTAGAGAGAGGGAGCCAGTGTCCCACGTCAGAGCCACCGCTGCCGCGGAGCTGCCGCCGGGGAGGGGCAACCGCTGCCGCCCAGGACTGGGCCTTTAGGGAGGTGGAGGCAAGAAGATGGCTTGGAGGCGGTCCACGGCAATGGCACCAGCATGATATCACTGATCATTCCTCCCAAAGACCAGATTTCACGAGTGGCAAAAATGTTAGCAGATGAGTTTGGAACTGCATTTAACATTAAGTCACGAGTAAACTGCCTTTCAGTCCTAGAAGCCATTATATCTGTGCCACAAAGACTCAAACTTTATAACAAAGTACCTCCAAATGGTCTAGTTGTTTACTGTGGAACCCTTGCAACAGAAGAAGGAAAGGAAAAGAAAGTCAAAGACAAAACTATGTCGGAAAGTAGCAGAAACTGCTGTGCAGCTGTTTATTTCTGGGGACAAAGTGAATGTGGCTGGTCTATTTTAGCTGGATCTGCTGACTTTAAAACTGAACTAAGTTAATCTGTTACGTTTGATCAGAGGTTACAATTGAAAGTTTTAAAATTAGTTGATATATCCTATGGTGGTGAAAATGGATTCAATCAAGCTATTGAATTATCTATTGAAGTCCTCTCCAACATGAAGTTCATTCAAGAGAAGAAATTAATAGGACGATACTTTGATGAAATCAGCCAGGACACGGGCAAGTACTGTTTTGGCGTTGAAGATACGCTAAAGGCTTTGGAAATGGGAGCTGTAGAATTTCTAATAGTCTATGAAAATCTGGATATAATGAGATATGTTCTTCATTGCCAAGGCACAGAAGAGGAGAAAATTCTCTATCTAACTCCAGGGCAAGAAAAGGATAAATCTCATTTCACAGACAAAGAGACCGGACAGGAACATGAGCTTATTGAGAGCATGCCCCTGTTGGAGTGGTTTGCTAACAACTATAGAAAATTTGGAGCTACGTTGGAAACTGTCACAGATAAATCACAAGAAGGGTCTCAGTTTGTGAAGGGCTTTGGTGGTATTGGAGGTATCTTGCGGTGCCAAGCAGATTTCCAGGGAATAGAATACCAAGGAGGAGATGATGAATTTTTTCACCTTGATGACTACCAGGTAGTTGACATGGGTCTGGCAAAACGTGCCTCACCCTCCAGCATCCAACCCAAGGAGCACACCCATGGTGGAATCCAAACAGATCCCTGCCTTGCAATTGGAACATTTCCAGAACCTAATCCATGAGCATTGGATATGGAAAAGAAACTGAAACAAAACCAGACCCAGCCCTACACTTTGGTTTGTCATGGTGTCAGCGCAGCAGCCTACGACTAAGTTCCTAAATGCCACTTTGGACTAATTTAAAAAAGAATCTCAGTTTTTACTTTTACTCAATGGTGAAATTGGTTGCTCTTGTATTTTATGAAAAAAAAATGATTTTTTTAACTTTCATATATAGAAGCAAAAATACTTTAACTGCTGTAAACCTTCAAAAGTTAATAGAAATGAGATCATAGTGGTTTGTTTCTTATTTTGGTTGGAGAAAAAATTAAATTGCTTCATTTCGCAGTGGCCCATTTGCATGGCATTCTCAGCTTTGACTGCATAAGAAGAAATACGTGATGAAATGTTGGAACCATTTCTCTCTTGGTCTCTGTTTAATGTTGAAAGGGTGAGCTAATAGGAGGCAATTTCAACTTCACTTTCTCACGCTCCCCTGTCCCCCTCCAGACTGGCAGTTTCAAGGATGCAAATTGCATTGCAAAATCAAACTGACTCTTGAAGTACTTGGGCCAGTGCACTGTTTACTTCCATCTGTTTGCAGACATATTTGTGCCCGGCGTTTGGGAGTCCTTTGTATTGATGTTCTGACAAGGGTCCCTATAAGCTTAACCTACCTGAAACCAGTTTGGAATGGATATGATGGGGCTTCTGTGCTCTTGCTGGGATTGGGAGAAATAAAACATGCAATTTAAGTGGAAGTGAGGAAATTTAAAGAGGATTTTCTTTTGCATGGGTCAATCCTTGTTAAAAGGGAGGTGGACGTGTTTTCCTTGTGTTGGATGGCATGAGATTATGTGAATGTTTTGATTTATTAAAATGAACTGCAAGGTTTTTCACAGGAACAAGCGACATGTATGACTGCATGTAATTATACACTCCTGACCTCCTGGTGGGGTTGGAGTATCTGTTTCAAATGTGGGACTTACAAGCACCTCTCACATGAGAAATTAGGGGTGGGTGGGAAGGGATGGGACACAGCTTCCAGCGCCATGGAGTTTAAGACCATGTTGGATCCAAAAATTGGCCTGAAAGCCTGAAGCTTATGCTTCACAGCTGGCCTGTAAGTCAGACTTGAACCCAGCTGATATGCAAGGTCATGGCATGCTGGACGTGGTGACAGTGAACAAAGTGTATAGTATGTGCCTAGTGGTAGCAATGGAAAAAAGTATACCAAATGGACTTTGAAGGACCAAAGGTTTTAAAAGTCAATTGGTATCACCTCCACACTGACTAGGGTAGTGGGGTACATTTGGTTTTCAAATGGGTACTTTTAACACTTTAGTGCCTGACTGCTGTTCTTTACTGACTTGATTCAGTCACTTGTAGCTTTATGGGTCTGAACCAGCTCCTTGTTCCCAGGTTACAGACCTGACTATTGTTCCAATCATCCTGTTTCACTTGAATGAAGGGAGTATGTCTTAAATGTAAAGTTTCTGATTCTCACACTGTACTCTGAGGTCCAAATGCTGTCTGTCAATGTGTAACCTGATGTCTCAACCCCCAGTGAGAAGGGTCGATTCTTTGGTGTTCACCAACGTGGGAGACTTCACCGAACAGCCTTTTTTGCTTTGGGCTCTGCTGTTTGTTTGCAGAACACCCAAGAGCGAGCAAACATGCTCTCTTCACAGCAGTAGCTTAGGGTTTTGCCATTGTAAATGGGTCTGATGTGATATGACAAGACCAGAGAAATTGGATGTAAATTTACATTTTTGAATATGCTTGCTGTTTCACATGAAACATTTAGGGTATGCAGCTCCTTTTGTAGCTTTTATTTTTACTGTTGAAGTTTGGAAATGATGCCAAATTTTTGTATTTCTTTAATCAATGTGTTCCCTTTGGTGATATATATTGCATTATATATTGATGTGTATTACACTTATACATACAAACACAAATAAGAGGGGGTGAAAACCGTAGCCTTTGGATTCTCTATAGCCTCTGCAGAGAGATCCTAAGCAGCAAAATCTTGGTGTTGTAATGTACAGAAATGGAGAACAGTATTAAACCACATTTAAGAATAAAAAAAAAATAGGGCACTTATGGGTTTTGGGGGGCAAGTGACAGCTCATCTTAGGGGCCCGCAGGATAATTTCTAAATGGGGCTCACAGTTTATCCTCCTTCATAGGGAGGCTGTGATTACCTCACAAAGCTTCTCTAGGGTCACAATAAGACAGCAAAAGCCCGTGCAGGGCCTGCAGGTGTGCTGGGGTCCCGCAGGCAGAAGCTGTGGTTGGCGCATGGCAGAACGTGTCTCTAAAGGGAGCGCCGGGAACAGGTGATAGCTTGGTAAGACAGCTGGAACCCAAGGTAGGTAAGAAGAATGTACCACCCCATGCTCCTTATCACTGCTTCTTTATATCTCAGCTCAGATATTACCTTCTCCATCAGTCCTCCTCCCGTCCGATAAGTGATGCTTCTCTATCTGCAACCCCAGCTCTTACTGCAGAGCACTGTAGGGGCTACTCTGGGGACTTTCTTCCCTGTGACCTGTGAAGACAGGGAGAGGGGCTTTGCATGCCTTGGCAGGTGTTGAAAAATTTTGCTTGCCTAGATCACTAAAGAACTGAATGGGCTGGGCGCGGTGGCTCACGCCTGTAATCCCAGTACTTCGGGAGGCCAAGGCGGGTGGATCACGAGGTCAAGAGATCGAGACCATCCTGGTCAACATGGTGAAACCCCGTCTCTACTAAAAATACAAAAAATCAGCTGGGCATGGTGGTGCATGCCTGTAATCCCAGCTACTCAGGAGGCTGAGGCAGGAGAATTGCCTGAACCCAGGAGGCGGAGGTTGCGGTGAGCCGAGATCGTGCCATTGCACTCCAGCCAGGGTAACAAGAGTGAAACTCCGTCTCAAAAAACAAACAAACAAACAAA